GGTGGCGATTTTTATTTTGATTTGTATAAAGTCTAGTCAATCCAATGGCTTAGTCTTGCACATTTCTACCGCCACAGATGCATATGACACTTTTTGATGTTCATGATGTATGCACAAGCACATGTACAAGCAAGTCACACAAAACCCTAGTTTCAGGCTTGCATGAGGTTTCATAGGTAAGTACCCTCTTGAGTTTAGTTGGCTCAAAACCTGTCCTATAAATAGTGACCGGGTTCTAAGGAGCTCAATATCACTGGATTGTTTTCTATGTTCATTGTTTTGGTTTAGCCACTTAACTAGCGACCAAAATATTCCAAGAAAACAATCCTCAATGAGTGTAGTATCGAGTATCTACCAACTTCGGACTGCACCAAAGCTGGTCATCTCACTACCCCTAATAAAAGGCCAAGATGGTCAAGTAAGATTCTAAGAGTTCATTAGTGCTTCATGACATCACTCAACGGCCCCGTATTCTCTTTGATTGACTCAAAGGCTACCGATACTCACAAATATGTCGCACTAATATAGCTATTGCTTCAACCATGTCGGTATACCCCGCACAGTTTCCACAACGTATTGCTATTTACCTATGAATGTTTCCCAAATCCGGGTAGAGGATTTCAAGCCCAAACAAGAGATCCAAATGTAAAGCAATCAAAGCAAACAATATAATCATGCAAAGGGTGATCTAAGCCCTAAGGTTACTCCACTTTTAAAGTATTCCCCAGCAGAGTCGCCAGTTCTGTGATACGGTGGGAGAACTGACTTGAGGGTTTTGCGTTTGTGTTCGCAAATGTTTTCGGTTTAGCAAGAGTCGCCATCGACTTTTTATTTTATCCTAAGGAAAGGTCAAAAAGCACAGGAAAGACCTTTGAGATGTTTTCTTGGGTTCAGGAGTAGATTATAGAAAGGGAGGGTATTAGCACCCTTTCTATCCATGGTTATCCATGGGCTCTTAGTTACTTGCTTAGATCACTTGCTTTGCTTTTCAATTGTTTGAAATCATGCTTTGTGTGTGATTTTGAAAGATGTTTTGAAAAGAGTCCATCGTTGTGGCAACCTTTGTAATGATTCTTGTTTGAATGCATACAAAGGTGTTTTTGTCTTTTTGAAAAGTTTTCAATGTTTGAAAGTAGGGTTTTAAATTTGTGTTGCAAAGTGTATTTTGAAGATAACAAGGATGTTTTTGCAAGTTTTGATCAAGTAACTAAGAGTTGTCTACCCTATTTACTCAAAGATCTTTCTTATGTTTTTAACCCTTTTAACAGTGTTGTTTCACCATTGTATTTGGTGAACAACCTTGTGTTAGGATGTTAAACGGGACAGACGCGGGTCATCGTATAGACCATGATAGCAATAGTGTCAAGTATTTTTGGCAATTTTCTTGAGGGACTTGATCACTTTGTTTAGGCAACCCAGATAGCGTCATCGAGGGACTATGATCTTTTGTTTTGTTTTTGTTTTGCCAAAGTACTTGACATGCAACCATGGCCCATTTTTGAAGGCAACAAGTGGATTGAAACCCTAGGGGTGCAAGTGTGCATTGTGTTTCTTTTTCATGCATTATTATCTTTGGATTAGGTCAAGCTATTTGTTGATTTTATTTTGCATACAAACCCTAGGTCTAATCATGGCATAATTGAAAGCATTTAAAAGTGCGAGAATTTAAATTCTACACTATTACAATCATTTGGGAATGGGGTGTAAAATTTTACAAATGGGGATTTCAAGAAATTAAAGTCCTAATTATCTATTACAACCATATTGAATAGCCATGAAGAAAATATATGAAGCATGTAAAAATCAATAAAAATGAAAGGAAGAGAAAACACTTTGGATCATTAGGTGTCGACCCATGCCGTAAACACAAGCTTCTTGAATGCACTCTTGTTTTGATGAATACAAGTCATGATTGATAAAGAAAGCAAGAATTATTGATCAAGCTAAAAGCCTCTTTAGATTAAGTCTTTGATTCAAGTCCTTAGCAAATTTCAAGGTATAATGAAAATATGTACCTTGAACTTAAGATATAGATGCTCAATGACCAAAAGAAACATTTTTATATTGTCCAATCATTTATTCAAGCTCTTTCAAATTAAAAAATCAATTTTTATTTGTGTGCAATCGATTTGCATGTTAGTGTAATCGATTGCACGCTTCAGTTTTTCAAAACATTGGCTACTGACTTCCAGTGCAATCGATTGCACAGTAAATTTTTTTGGAAATTTGGCTACTGGAACTCCATGCAATCGATTTGCATGGTTGTGCAATCAATTGCACACTTAATTTTTTTTTGGAAATTTGGCTACTGGAACCCCGTGCAATCGATTTGCATGGTTGTGCAATCGATTGCACACTCAATTTTTTTGGAAATTTGGCTACTGGAACCCCGTGCAATCGATTTGCATGGTTGTGCAATCGATTACACGCTGTATGATTTTGAAAAAACAGTTGTCTTACACCTGCCTGTTCATGATACTATTTCATGGAAAACTTATCACTCAATCTTGGAAATTGTTCATGATTTTTTTACAAACCTTTTCTCCAAAGGTCACTGCATTTTAGCCTAAAAAATGAACCAAATGATGATGATTGAAATGAAGAGTTTAAAGCCAAGAAAACTTACCTTGAAACTGAAATTTGTGCTTGGAGTTTGAGTTGTTGTATGGGCTGTTGTTTGACTTGATAGGGTGTATGAAACTTGTTTGACAACTTTGTTTGAGTTCAATATATCAGAAGTGAGAGATGCCTTGTGTTTTTCAAGTTTTCTTTCTTTTTTGAAGCAAAAGAGAGGAAGTGAGGTTATAGACTTGTACAGGCCATCCTATCACCCTGCACACAACTCTCTTGGCCCCTCTAATTAGTGGATTTTGTTTGCAGCATAAGATCTGGTTCAATGCTCTAGGATGTTGTTTTGACATAAAGTAAAGTTCAAGCAAAAATGGCATTGTTACTTTTTCCATTTAAGGCTTAATCTAGTGTACAATGCCCTAATGATCAAGATAATGCCTTGGCTCAATGGATATGCATTAAATTATGGAGTACAAACTGGTTTAGAGGCCTGTAATTGTGAACCAAGCTAGCTAGATCAGATTTGGCAAGTGGTATGAACATGTATTGGCCATGGACCAAAGTGAGTTTTTGCCAACTTCAAGCATTCGATTATCCCTAACCACAAAGGTGTTTGAGGAGTTCTTGGATAATTTGGAAAGCTTGCAACATTTACTATAATCCATATTTGAAATAAAACTTGAAACTCCAAGTGGAACTATGTGAAAAATGGCCAAGAAGATGGGTCAAAATCCTGCCTAAACTAAGGCAAAATTTCTCTAAGTTAAAAGTTTTAGGTACCCTTGTTCCAAAAATTATAACTTGAGATACAAGCTTCTTTTGAGAAAACTTTGTGAATAAAAGTTGTAGACTTTGTGATGTACTACAACTTTTATGTTGCAAGTTTTGTTTGAATCCATTTGCATCTTGATGAAAAAATTGGACAAAGTTAGGAAAAAATAAGAAAATTTCATAACTTAGAAAAACTCTAAGTTATGAAATTTTTCCATTTTAAATCCTAATTTGCATTTTTGGGTTTCTTGATGAACAAACTCATAATTTGACATGTCTTGATGAAAAATGATTCTTGGTACTTGATTTTGACCAAAAAGTTAAAGTTTGACTTCTCAGTGTACAGTCAAATTTTGATCAGTTGACTGAAAAATTCATCTGTCAATCTTATGCATTTGAGATCTTTTGAACTTGTTGAATGGATCAAGATAATGTCATTGAGTCCTTGAGTCCATGGTTGAGCTTGATTTGCCATTGGTTAGGTCAAACGGTCAAAATTGCCTTTGTGCAGTCAAAACCTTAAAAATGACCATTTTGCCCTTTTGGTGATCTGATCAAATTTCTTGTGGAATTGTGATCCAAACTTGATCAAATGGTTCATATGAGTTCATAATGTTGATGTGGGTCAAATTTCATGAGGTTTGACTGTCAATTGGCCACAGTTGACTTTTTCCCCAATACAGTTGATTTATAGGTCAACTGTCCAATTGACTGGGCAAAAATTTGAATCAAGGCTTGAAACTTGGTATGGACAAACTTGTGAGTCCAACATGAAGTATGAAAGTCACTTTGGTCATTGTAGGTCAAAATATCCCTGTGCAAACTCAAACCCTAATTTAGGTCAACAGTGCAAGGAGGTGCCTTGAGCAGAGCAAACCCTAGCTTGATCTTGAGTTCCAAGAGTCTTATGATGAAAAATGTTGATGAAATGAGAGGGCAAATTTTGGGGTACAACACACCGCATAAGAAAATAACAATATATCGAATTCAATCACGCGACGAAAAGATAAAAAACAACGTTGGGTTTTTATTACCTATCAACACATCCTTATTATAATTACCACTGATTATATCGGAAAAACCAGTAAACAACAGTGATTTCGCAAGTATGTCAGATTTGTTATCATCACCAACGAACGTATCTCCTGTAAACTTAAGTATAAATTTGTTATCATCAAAAGAGTTGTGCATTAAAACTACATAATATTATATTACATCTTTATTGTACATTGGAAATAGTTGAAAAACATAAGAAAGAAAGCCAGATAGAGAAGTCATTCATGTATTTCATTTATGGAGCAGAAGAATTTTCTTATACAATAGATTCTTTTAAAAAAAAACCGAAAACAACCGATAATAAACAAAACATAAAATTTAAATTTTCTTATACCGTAGATTCTTTTAAAAAAAAACCGAAAGCAACGTGCCCTAATTTTTACTCATTAATCAATTGTCTAGCTTTTTAATTTTTACCGAAAAATAAAAAAGAAAGTAAAGAAAAAAAGCAATATTAAGAAATAGTCCTATTGGTAAGAAATAATTCTAGTTTATTAGTCTTATTCATTAATGGGTTGTCCAACTTTTAGATTGAAATGTAAGGTAAGAAAATAAATAGAGCAAGAAAAGAATGTTAAGAAAATTCTATTGGCTGGTTTCAAATGCCACGGATCTCGATCCCATTACCCTTTCCTCAGAGATATTCAACCGTAGATAGCCACTCTAATCAACGATCACCATCTCTTCCGTTTTTCTATTTTCCTTTTCCAATTCCCGCTCGCTCCTCATTTCTCCTCCAATATATATTACCCAAACACCAACGTCCTTCTCATCAATCACAACTCAATTAACATACATACACATATTTGTTTTTCTTTCTCCACTCTCAATGGCACGTACCAAGCAAACCGCTCGCAAGTCCACCGGAGGAAAAGCCCCAAGGAAGCAACTCGCAACCAAAGCCGCTCGCAAATCTGCTCCCGCCACCGGTGGCGTCAAGAAGCCTCACAGATTCCGTCCAGGAACCGTTGCTTTGAGAGAGATCAGAAAGTATCAGAAGAGCACTGAGCTTCTCATCCGGAAACTTCCATTCCAAAGACTTGTTCGTGAAATCGCTCAGGATTTCAAAACAGATCTCCGATTCCAAAGCAGCGCCGTTTCCGCTCTTCAAGAAGCCGCTGAATCCTATCTCGTTGGTTTGTTCGAAGACACTAATCTTTGTGCGATTCACGCCAAGAGAGTTACCATCATGCCCAAGGATATTCAACTCGCTCGCAGAATTAGAGGCGAGAGGGCTTAGATCTTTTTCTATGTAATTTCGCTAGGTAGTTATTGCTCTGTTAGGGTTTGGTTCATATGTTATGAATCTTGATGTGTTAGTTCATGAAGTGAATCTACTTATGTAATATTAATTTATTATTTGGTGTTTAAGTTGATTGCATTTTATTATTTGCTTTTTTTCCATTATATATCCCACATGTGTTAGTATTTCATTTTTTTAAGATTGATAATGCTTAAATAATAATACATGTCATATGCTTAAATTCATTACCAATGGAAGTTGTAACAATCCTTCTATCATTTATCTTACCCGTTCAGCTTTCGAATTCTACCGAATGTTTAATGTGAAGTTAGCCATCATCGTAACAACAACGTTTTTGGCTTGTTTACTTCAACGATTAGAAGTCTGTTCCCTACTAAGTGTTAATATGCTTTCTTGTAGGGGTGGACAAATTTCTTCGATCCAAACCAAACCGACCTACTCAAGGGATCCGAGAACACGTGAGTCGGGTTAAACAGATCAACAGTTTATCGATTTGCCAAGAAATGGATGCAGGTGGATTTTGTCGGTCGGTTTAAGATTATGTTTTTAGACCCATGGCTAACCATAACCGACTGACCCAGAAGGGGAGGTATGAATGATATGATTTGGACTTGGCATATTAATGGAGAGCCCAAGGAAGTCAATTTTTTTACAACAACGATTTTACTTGGCCCAAAAAATTAGATATTTTTCACTTAGTTAGTCAGTATCTCCACTAGGGTTTCATGAGTTCTCTCAATCTCATCATTCCAAATTCGTTCCTCTTCATCAGCATCTCTCTCCGCTAGGGTTTCATCTTCTTCTTTAGCAACTGTCATCGTTTGGTCAAGCACCACCACGCCAACCAGCCACGAATCACCTCCGATGTAAGTACTTATCTGTTATGATTCTCCTTCTCTATCTTTCTCTCTCTGTCAAGTAAAATAAATTTTTGGTTGTTTTAAGTTTGAGTTTTTGGTTGTTTTGTTGTTGAGTTTAATTCTTTTGTTGTTTTCTATTGGAAGATGAATCCTTGCAAACAAGTTTTTTGTGGACTTGATGAAAAACTGTTAATGGAGTCGAACAACGACTTAAAATATAAATTTGTTTCCTTAACAACCATTAATCTGTTGAAAAGCTGGACAACTTTTAGTGAAGTTGATTTTCAAACAATTGTTTACAATTGAAGATTCAACAGGCTGTTAAGAAATTAAACTAATAAACATGTAGAAATTAAACTAAATAGTTTTCCAAATTGTCATGTTTCTAAGCACATAATTATTTTTTAAAAGTTTGTTACAATAATGAAAAAATATTGACAAATGTGTATAGAGAGATGAACTATTTGATTGTGAAAATGAAAAAAAAAAATGCAAAGTATACTCACTTATATTAGTCTTGATGCTCTTGTGAAAGTATGTTGATGAAAGAAAGTAGTAATTTGTAATTGACAATTGCTGTTTTGTTGGTTGTATATGTGGAATTCATTCTTGGTTTGTTTCTTTAAAAATGTTGGTTCTTAACTCTCTTTCTCTTTTTCCCCTCTTAACTCTCTTTATTTGTTTCTTAAAGAACAGTGAACCATATGTTTGTTATGCTAATCCATTTATATATTTTGTTTTATTGAAAGATGGAACATGGAGAAGGGAGCTTTCAAGGAGGTGGAGAAGCTGGAGAAGAAAGCTTGCAAGGACTCAGTGAGGGAAGCTTCCAAGGACTGAGTGAAGGTAAGATTTTACAACAACTTACTTGTTATTTGTGGGTATGGCATGAAAAGTAAATATACTTCAGGTTTCTATAATTTTTGAGCTTAGGTTAAGTTTATAAGTTTTTGTGTGTTTGCTGGCTAATGTTGTCTTTGTGTGTTTGCTGGTTTATAAGTTTTTATATGTTTGTTGGTTATGTTGTCTTTGTGTCTTTGTGAAATGTTTGTTTTCATACCTGCATTGAAAGATACCTTGTGGAAGTGAAAGTTTTCAATCAATTTTAAAAAAAATTTATTCTAAAAAGTTTTATATTTAAAGACAGAAGTAGTAATTTGAAGTTTTCTCTGAGATTCAATTCTACTTTTATATATTGCTGAACATAATACATGATTGGTAGCTGACCTTTTTTGTGTATGTCGTGTATGTTGTGTAGTATTGGTGGGTTTTTTAGTGTATGTTGAGTAATATTGGTTGATGTTTAATGATCTTTTTTAGTCTAACATTTAAATTGGTCATGTAAGTAACTGTTTTAGATTATTCATATAGGACTAAGTGTTTTTGTTGACCAAAATATTTTCAGTGATGGAACATCCTGTTCCCTATGTTGAACCTACACAAGCAGTAGAAACCGCACTTCCTCATTTCCCCCCTTCTAGGAAAAAAAGACTAGTTAATGCTAGTGGATCTAGGAAAACTTCCACCGTTTGGTTAGACTTTAACATTTTTCCGGATGAACCTGAACCAATAGCTGCGTGTAAACATTATCACAAAAGATATCGATGCGACCCTAAAACACATGGAACATCTAACATGTTAGCTCACTCAAAAGTGTCACAAAAACCCTAACCTTTTACAGAAAGATCCCACTCAAAGAAACCTTGTAAGTGGTGAAGGTGGTTTTTTAGGTTCAACAAGCCAAAGGTTCAATGCTCAAGCATGTAGGAAGGCTATTACTTCCTTTGTACTTCTTGATGAGCATTCATTTAGAGTGGTAGAGGGTGGGGGTTTTAAGAGACTATGCAAACAACTACAACCACAAATGACCATCCCTTCAAGGAGGACTGTTGCTAGGGATTGTTTTCAACTTTACCTAGCCGAAAAGTTGAAACTTAAAGCCTTCTTTAAATCTGATTGTCCTAGGGTTGCACTAACCACTGATTGTTGGACTTCAATTCAAAATCTTAGTTACATGGCCATAACTTCACACTTCATTGACAATGAATGGAACTATCATAAAAAGATTATCAGTTTTAGTTTAGTTCCAAATCACAAGGGTGGCACCATTGGTAAGAAAGTGGAGGATGTTTTGAAGGAATGGGGGCTTAGAAAAGTCTCAACAATTACCCTTGATAATGCAACATGTAATGATGTGGTTGTTTCTTATTTGGGAAAAAGACTTAAAAGCAAGAATGCTTTAGTTGGTGATGGGAGTTTTTTTCATATGAGGTGTGCTGCCCATATCTTAAACTTAGTAGTGAGAGATGGGCAAAAAGATCATGAATTGGCTATTGAAAGTGTTCACGAAGCTGTTAGGTTTGTGAGGTCCTCACCACAAAGAGCTTTAAAGTTTAAGGAGTGTATTGAAATTGTAGGGATAACATGTAAAAGAAAACTTGGCCTTGATGTTTCCACACGATGGAATTCTACATATTTGATGTTGGATGCTGTTGAGAAGTTTCAGGAAGCATTTGAGAAGTTAGAGGATGAGGATCCTGGGTACATGGACTTTTTTAACCTCTCAGGTCCTCCTTGTTCTATTGATTGGGAAAAATCTAGGGCTTTTGTGATTTTTTTGAAAACATTCTATGATGCAACCAAATTGTTTTCATATTCGCAAGAAGTGTCGTTACATTCTGCCTTTCATAACTTGTCTGAAATTTTGTGTAAGCTTCAAGAAGCTTCCTTGAACATGAATACCTATGTGGCTCCAATGGTTTCAAATATGAAGACCAAATTTGATAAATATTGGGGGGACGTTGAAAAAGTGAATCATTTCCTATTTTTTGGAGTGATATTTGACCATAGGTTTAAGTTCGGTTATGTTGAGTGGTCTTTCAATGACATGCATGGGGCTGGTAGTCCAATTGCTAAGAAAAGTATTGAGTGTGTCAAGAAAAGTCTATTTACACTATACAATTGGTATAAATCTGAGCACAGTAAGAATGTTGAGGCTGCCCTCTTAGATGCACCATCCGAGAGCACTTCTCTTGGAGAAACAAGTACCCAAGCTAGAAAACCTACACTTTTTACAAGGGCTGGTGCATTTAAACAACACTTGAAGGATAAAGTCATTGTTGATAATAAAAATGAACTAGAGAAGTACTTAGGTGATCCATGTTGGGTTGATGCTGAAAATTTTAACATTCTTAAATGGTGGAAGGAGAATTCAACTCGTTATCCTATATTAGCTACTTTGGTTAGGGATGTTTTGGCAACACCTGTTTCAAGTGTAGCATCTGAAATTGCTTTTAGTACGGGTGGTCTTGTTCTCAAACCCTGACCAACTTATAGATGTGAATGCTGTCAAGATTTTCATGTCTAAGAATCCCATACCTACATTGGTTGGGGATATCCTACACTCATTTTACACACGAACAATGAGGAAAAGAGGTGTTCTCATGTGCTGTACTCCTCTCCTAGCAAGGTGGTTTATTTCTCACCTTCCACAGTCAGTTTTGAAGAATGAGCAGGGTTTAAGGTGGTCACAACGGTTGATGACCCTCACACGTTCTGATGTACATTGGTGTTTTCGGTCCAGAGAAAATGTCATCATCATTGATCGTTGTGGTGAATTCTATAATGTCCCATTACTTGGCATTAGAGGAGGCATTACCTACAACCC